GGGGGGGGGAGCCCTCCTGCTGGGAGGATTTAAAAGCCTGGAAGAAAATCAACCTTTCTTAGAAGCATAATAGCTTTTTTTTTTAAAGGAAGGGTCAAAAGAAGGAGGAATTGCAGTGGGAGAGATTTCCAAGTATATGGAAGAACACAAAGGAACAGATGATGACAGAAAATAACCAAGAGACTAAAAGGGCTAATGAGTTTAGCAAAATGACAAGTAGAAGGAGTGTAAAAGAGAAAAATAGAAGGAGAGAAGCTGCGCTGCCACCACCAATGGTGATTATTTACATTTCTACCCTTCTTTTCCACTATAAGGTAGTGCTCAAGGGGAGTTATAATCATAAAACATAATAAGAAAAACAGCAAAAATGGATTGAACCATACATGTAATCATTAAAATAAAAACAAAACACTCAAAACCATTAAAACATTGTGAACAGTTAAAATCGTCCCAATAAATTAAACACCATCATAAGCCAAGTGTAAAAGTAATATCCTCTATCCTCACACCCTTCCTAAAAGCAGGAAGAATAGAAACTATTTGCAACTCCAACAGAACGGCAACCCAGACAGGAGAAAACTCTCTTCCACATTTCTGTCACGTGGTCCTCTCTTGCTGTTGGTATTCTTAAGAGTGCCCCTCCTAAAGCTCTTAACATCCAGAAAGATTCATAAAAAGAGAGGCAGTTCCCTGAGATAACCCAGCCCAAAGCTGTTTAGGAATTAGACATTTAAAGTCAGCACCTTGAATTTCACCCTATAAGTAGCTGGTAACAAGTTTGTACAGTATTTGAATCATACAGTCCAAACACCAGTTAACAGCCTTGGTGCCACATATTGGATCAACTGAAGTTACGAGATCTTCTTCAAGGGTAGCTCCTTAGAAAGTGTGTTGTAGTAGTCAAGGTGTGAAAGAAAGCTTTTTTCCTTTCTTTAATGGTACCAGAGCAGTGCACAATTTAAAATCATGGATAAATATGGAATATTGGTTAAATAATAATAATTAAAATGTCAAATTAGCAGCATTGCACTGTGAAAGTTTGATATGACTAAGCCATGGCTAAAGCAACCCAATCAGGTTGACACAAGAAAAGCCATAGTTGACACACTAAACAAAGTTATACAAAGGTGCTCCATGCCACTGCTGCCATATGGAAATTTAAGAACAGTGCAGAAAGCAGGAGTACTCCTGGACTATAATCTTGACCTGTCAGGAGGAGCATGACACCTACAGCAGGCTAAATCCCAATCTCTGAGCCTGGTTTTCCACTGACTAGCAGTACCTCTGTCTCATCTGGATTAAAATTCAGCCTCATTCAACCCAGTATCGAGCTTAGGTGTATTGACTGCTCCCTCAGTGTCAGATGAGGAGGAGGAATAGAGATGGGGTAACATCAATACATTGGTGGCACCACAGTCCTAAGCTTTGAATGTTCTCTCACAGCAGTTTTGTGTAGATTTTAATCTGATAGAAAATACAGTAGAGCCTGGGAGGAAACCACTTTTTGGGTTTGCCCCGTCAAGAAGGACTAGAAGCACTGCAATACAGTGCCCTCAATAATGAATCAAGCCAGACAGTACAATAGGATGTTACAGTCAGTTGTATCAAAAGCCATCAAGAGGTCTAGAAGGACTAATAATCTCATGCTCCCCTTATCCTGTCCCCAGGACAATGAATGAATGAATGAATGAATGAATGAATGAATAAATAAATAAATAAATAAATAAATAAGTAAATAAATAAATAATCTCATGCTCCCCTTATCCAGTCCCTAGTGTAGGTCATCTACCAAGGCAACCAAAGCAACCTCAGTCCCATATCTCTACTGAAAGCCCAATTGAAATGAGTCCAGGTAAGTAGTGTCATTCAGGAGTCTTTGGAGTTCCAGTGCCACCAACTTCTCAATTAAGTTAGGCAAAAGATAAATTTGAGACTAGCCTATAAATGGTCCAAACTTTAAAGTCAAAGGTCAGGTTTTTACAGAAACCAATCTCCTTTATACAGGAAGAGGCAGCCCCTTCCTCTAAGAGATCCTTTATCACTTCTCTTAACCAACTCATCCGTCCTTCCTTGGCAGATACAATTAGCCAGGCAAGGCAAGAATTGTATAAGCAAGTGGCAGCTCAAACAACCCATTCACATTCTTGTGATCTGCACGCTGAAAAGAATCCCAGTGAACAGGGCAAGTGGTTGCCAACATGACGTCAAGTTGACCTGCTCCAATAGTGAAGTCCAACTCAAGGTGAATTTAGTGGACTTTGTCTGCAAAACACATAGCAAACTGCTTGCTGTGAGCAACTGATTGTTCTCACATCCTCAGTCCAGCATCCTGTCAAAGAAGGTCTTACAAAGTTTGGAAAAGCACCGCCGGCCTGTTATGCATGGGCCCAGTGGCAACACACACTTGGTCTTTCCCAGCTGTCCCTGACATTGCTGCCTACCTTTTCAGATGGGTTACAGCTAGTTTGTGGCTTCACTCATCCTGAGGTGTCCTCTAATGATGCTGTAGCTGCTGCCCCTCCTGTTTCATTGCCCTCAGTTCCATGTTAACCACAGGAAGCTGATCTGTTCTACAAATGGGAGGCAGCATTTAGGAGCCACAATGCCAATTGCCTAAGTTATTTCTCCATTTCACAGATCAGTGAGAGCTTTGACAGTATGGACATTAGAAGGACTCATTTTCTGAGTCTCAGCATGCCAAAACATCCTGCAATGAGAACAATCTTGTGCAGGAAAGATGCTATTCTGCACAGGATTTATAAAAATCTTTTCAATTTAGCATTTGTTAAATGGTTTGAGACCACACTACTTGTTGGAGTGGCAACAATGTCATCTGCCCAATCCAACATATCCTCCCAGGCAATGCTCCTCCATGTTGCTACTGGGAGGGAGGCCCAGAAGTCTTCTATGAAGAGTTGGGCCTTCTTTGCAGTGGCACCAACTCTGTGGAACCAGCACCTGGTGGAGCTGTGCCGAGTCCCCTCCCTGCTAATGTTTAGAAGGCAGCTTAAAACACTGCTTTTCAGGGAGGCTTTCTTGGCCTAATGTCACACCTCTGTCTTTGCTCTCATAGAGATAATGTGTCTTTGTACCATTGGTACCTTTGTTTTTATACATTCGCTGTTATGTATCTGTTTACTTGTTGTGAACCACTCAGCATAGTGCATTGCACTAATGGGGTGGTAAACAGTGAGTGAGTGAGAGAGAGAGAGAGAGAGAACAACCATGAAGCTCATGACTGCAAGAGTTCTTTTAAGATTTCTTGGTATTGAGAGAGAGAGAGAGAGAGAGAAAAAACAACCATGAAGCTCATGACAAATCCTGCAAGAGTTCTTTTAAGATTTCTTGGCATGGGTGGGAGGGGGTGGAATCTTGCACAGAAAAGTCTCACTGTAAGGGGAAAAAGTTTTTTTCTCTCTCTCTGAGAGAAAGAGCCGTAAAATTCACATCCCTATTCAGCATTATCAGCAATGAATGAAGTAGGAAATGTCCTAAGTGCATTCAGGAAACCATTTAGAATCCACCAGGAGCCTAGGGCAGACCATTTAGATCAGTGGTTCTTAACCTTTGTTACTCGGATGTTTTTGAACTGCAACTCCCAGAAACCCCAGCCAGCACAGTTGGTGGTGAAGGCTTCTGGGAGTTGCAGTCCAAAACTCCTGAGTAACCCAAGGTTAAGAACTAGTGATTTAGATCCACCAGGAGCCTAGGGCAATCTATCTTAATCAGTCCACCATCCCTGCATAGGTTCACACTACCCGCCAATCTAAAATCAATCAGATGGTGATCTGTCCAGCCCTACCTATATTCTCTAACTTTAGATCACCAAGTCTACCTCAAAAAACCTCACTGTGAATATTGAAGAACCCCCCCCCCCAAGAATTGGGGTTGTCTAGGGTAGTCTAACACCAATACCAGAAGTCCACCATCCCTGCATAGGTTCACACTACCCGACAATCTAAAATCAATCAGATGGTGATCTATCCAGCCCTACATATATCCTCTAACTTTCGATCACCAAGTCTAACACCAACACCAGGGATTACCCCAGCTAGCTCAGGAAAAGAAACTGTTGAGTTAGGGGGTGGATAGTGCCTCAAGAGAAGAAACAGTAAATGTGGAGGTTGGAGTGGGAGATGTGAATTCCTGTTCCCATCAAGCATAGTGGGTGCCATTCTTTTCCAAAGTTATTGTGAGGAAACCGTGGAAAGGAGGAAATAATAAATCAGTAAATAGCAGTTTTAGTAATACTAAGCACTGGATAAGAGAAACAAGAATAAATGACTGAAAGTAGAATAGAATAACATGAAGAAGGCACAACACTGGTTTTATTTCCTGTGTGCCCACAACCACTAGTCTTGGAGGAAATTGTTAGTACTGTGAAAAGGAACATGCAAGCAAAGAAAGGTGGAAGTTATTGTTTGAGAAGACATATAACAAATTTTCTTTAGTCTTGATGGTGGTGTATAATCCAAAAGGAGATGATGGAGAGAGAAGTACAAGCAAAAACTGAGGATAAGAGTACTGAAAAGTAGGGGAGAGAGAGAAATCTCTGAAAATATATCAAAGGCATAAACTGCTTGTTATACTAAAGATGCAAATGAAACAAATAGTGGGAGAAAATGGAGCATTTGCTTATTCATTGGCAAGTATGCAGAAAGCATAGTGAAAATGATTTCAAAGTGCATAAGTAAAAGTAAGGCTTAAAGGTACACCTACCCAGCCAGCACAGCAGATCCATGGTGGAACACCAAAAGACATCACTGGGAGGAAAGTCGCAATCTGCAGCCATCTGATATACAGTTCTTCATCCATCAGCAATTTACTTCCAAGAGACCCTCCTAGATTGCACACGCAGAAAATTGAGTGAGAAAATGAAAATTCATGTAAATATTAACATTGTTTTTAATCATGGCCACAATAATTTAGGAACTACTAATCTAGTTTGGTACTAGAACCTGAGCCATTTTAACAAACCTGGATAAACAGGAGACAATTAAAACACCGCCCAGCTATAGGTGTCCCAGCTCTGCCACCTTCTATGCCATATAAGAGCTTTGCAATATGCTGAGCCTTATTTAAGGGTGAAGCTACGGGAGACATTCAGCTCTGCATTTAGAAGCAACAAGAACCGTTTTGTCCTAGAAGGAGTTTTTCTTATCTCTGTATTTTGCAAATCAGTTTGTGCTGTTCTGTAGTTGGTCACTGCAGCTAAACATGGGCTTCATTTGCAATTCTGATTGCTTGGGCACACAGGAATACTGTGTCACTGGAAGGACAACCCACGCAAAAAAGAAATATAGCCAAACCCATACATAGTACAAACTGGTCAAAGGGAAAGGAAGTGGACCAAGTCCTAACCTACAACCCATTCTGCCAATGCTGGTAAATAATTTCAAAAGCAATGGAAAGGAGGTAAGAACTGAATGATATTGAGGTCAAACAATGTAATTCAATTCTATGTTGAATTTCAAGGAAGGTGCACGCTGGAGAAATCAAAGGAATGGTCTCTCACAGGATAGCATCCTGGCACTGTTACATTGTAACACTTTCCTAAATGATTAACCGACATTCTCGTACTCTAGTAGTTTCATCTATGCTGATCATCTTCCCTTGACAGTCCAGGGGGGAACCTTTGAGGTCTTCAAGCACAAGCTAAACTCTGAATTAGAAGATCTTCCTTTCAATTATATAAACAACCACCTGAAACCAAACCTAGATCAAATCCTGACCTACAAAAACTTTGTTGAAACACCAAACAGAAACTTACTGCCAGAGATATACCGTACTTAGAAAACTGACTGGGTCAGACTGGGGTGCACACCCACAAACAATAAGAACAGCAGCTTTATCCCTGTGCTATTCCAAGGCAGAATCTGATAGTGCCATACGGTATAAATCAGCACATGCCAAACAAGTGGAGGTAGCTCTTAATGAATCATGCAGGATTATTACTGGCTGCCTGGAACCTACCCCTGTTGAAAAAAGTCTATTATTTGGCTGGCATTGCCCCTCTAGAAGTATGTTGAGAAGTACTAGCAAATAATGAGCAAAAGAAGATAATACAGCACAAAATTCATCCACGTCATGGATATCAATGCCCTGGATGATAGCTAAAATTGAAGAAAAGTTTGCTGCACATTTCTCAAGCTCTAAATATTAAATCAGATGGACTAGGCTAAATCTATGGTGAACAAAAACACACCTTACCAACTGGATGAATGCCAAAGAATGTCCCCCTTCAGGACAAGATTCCGGCTGGACCATCTTGTTGTTTAGCAGTTAAGTTGTGTCCGACTCTTCATGACTCCATGAACCAGAGCACACCAGGCCTTCCTGTCTTCCACTGCCTCCTAGAGTTCAGTCAAATTCATATTGGTAGCTTTGATGATACTGTCCAACCATCTCGGCCTCTGTTGACCCCTTCTCCTCATGCCTACAAACTTTCCCAACATCAGGGGCTTTTCCAGGGAGTCTTTTCTTCTCATGAGATGGCCAAAGTATTGAAGCCTCAGCTTCAGGATCTGTCCTTCCAGTGAGCACTCAGTGTTGATTTCCTTTAGAACAGATAGGTTTGTTCTCCTTGCAGTCCAGGGGACTCTCAAGAGTCTCCCCCAGCACCACAATTCAAATTCTTCGGCGGTTGGCCTTTTTTATAGTCCAGCTCTCTCTTCCATACATCACTACTGGAAAAACCATAGCTTTGACTATGTGGACCTTTTCCACAAGGTGATGTCTCTGCTTTTTAAGATGTTGTCTCGGTTTGTCATCACTTTCATCCCAAGAAGCAGGCGTCTTTTAATTTCGAGGCTGCTGTCACTATCTGCAGAGATCATGGAGCTCAAGAAAGTAAACTCTGTCACTGCCTCCATATCTTCCTCTTCTATTTGCCAGGAGGTGATGGGACCAGCGGCCATGATCTTAGTTTTTTTGATGTTGAGCTTCAGACCATTTTTTGCACTCTCCTCTTTCAGCCTCATTAAGAGGTTCTTTAATTCCCCCTCACTTTCTGCCATCAGAGTGGTATCATCTGCATATCTGAGGTTATTGATATTTCTTCCAGCAATCTTAATTCCAGTTTGGGATTCATTCAGTCCAGCCTTTCGCATGATGTATTCTGCATAAAAGTTAAAGAAGCAGGGAGACAATATACAGCCTTGTCGTACTCCTTTCCCAATTTTGAACCAATCAGTTTTTAACCATGCTTTCTAAGGCCCACTTGACTTCACTCTCCAGGATGTCTGGCTCAAGGTCAACAGACACACTATCTGGGTTGTCCGGGACAGCCAGATCTTTCT